TCCATGTCTCAGTCCACATGATATCTAGAATGGAGGAATATATGATCCCTTATCTAATGGACAAGTCATTGACAAGGTCAGAGTTCGACAGCGGCTTTAAGAGCTACGATTGCCAGTTAGGTTTTGAAGTCATACTCAATAATAGTTTTAGACTTATCCAAGTGGGAGACTGTTGGATTAATGTCTAAGTCCATAACTATATTTGGTATGTACTTGACCCGACCCGGCATGGTCCATTTGGGTTGCACTTCACCGGCACAATTTATATGGATAGTCTTTTGAGAATAGTATATTTATGATTTATATTAATATATTATAAGTTCTAATATATTAATATGGAATCATATTATTTAATTAGTATTGATCAAGAATTAATTTAGAATTAATTAAGTGATCAAAAAGAACTAATTAAATATGGACTCTTATATATATGGAATGGGCCAAGTTCATTTAGGTTGGGCTAAGCTTTCATGGATGGTCCATGGAGCTTTTAACCCATGGATCCTATGTAAATGAAAGGTCATGGGTATTAGGGTTTACATGGATGTAACCCTAATCCTCCATAATATATAAAGGGGTCCTTGGCTCACAAAATTGGAACAAGTGTGTGAAAATAAGAGTGGGCCAATTTTAGTGTGCGTACATATTCTCTCAAGTTCTTCCAAGGTGTTTTGGTGATTTGTGGTTCCATTTGAGGCTTCCACACTATTGGGGCTAAGCTCTTAAAGCTTGAAGACATCAAGCTACATCAAAAGGTATGTCATCTAACTAGAACTTTGTAGTATAGGTGCTTCATAATATGCTAGTTAGGATGAAACCTTGGAATAGTTAATATTTGCATGTATAATAGAGAAAACATAGATCCAAGGTTTATAGGGTTGCATGTACACCATAGGAGTGTTAGAATGCTCAAAACCCAACAGAAGGAACTTCAAATTTTAACGTTTATGGGCGACATTCTAAATCACATTTATTCAGATACTACTGTCTCGCCATTGTCGTCCCTTCATGAGACCTTAGAAAAATATCAATCTTTGATTCCTGACTTCAAACCAATCATTGTTACATGTCCCGATTCCATGCAATTTCTGCCTCTGGTATCCGTGGACTTGAATCAATCTTCGAAACTTCCACATAACACAGGTGGTACTGGAGTTTACATTCCAAACTCTGGTCCTCCAAACAATTGTGTTATTAAGGAAATCATTCCTGAGACATGTGGACATGACTTGGACCAAACTAACTAATTTTGGTTGTCCTTTGATAGTGATATAGATGAAGAAATTAAGTATGATGATGACCCATCGTCTGATTCCATTGTATCAAACTCAACAGTTGTTTCTAAGATTACATTAGTTCCTATCAAGCCTTGTTTCACAAATCCATTTTCAGGACAATCTTCTAAGTCAACATCTGACTCCAAGAAGAAACCATGGTTAAACAAGGACATTGTTCATCCAAAGACAGAGGCTAGGAAAGCTCTTGCGAAAGAAACTAGGACTAGACAAAACTCTAGGTTCCTCACAAAATCTGATAAGAAAGTGCCTCAAAAAATAGCTAATCTAGCTACTAGGAATAACAACACGTTCATGCATGTTAAGATTCTTAAGAGACCATCTATTTCTGTTAGCTCGGACACTCGTTCTGTAAAACCTGTTAATGATGTGAATCCTCAAATGAAAAAAAAAATCAATTCGTAAAATGTCTTCTTCTTCAGTGTTCATTGCTACCTCTAATGACACAAGTTTCAAAGCAAAACAAGTTCAAAAATCCATTGTGCCAAAGAATGAAATGAACAAAGGAAAAGATACTCGGAATGTCACTGATAAGAAACCTTCCAAATGTTCAAATCCAAAATTTGAATGGATTGTAAAAGGAAAAACTTTTGTTCCAAAGCATGAACCTCAGAATTTGGTTCATTTTGAACCATCTCGGAAATACTATTCCTTTGAGAAAAGAAATTGCCAAACAACCACGTGTTGAGTATGATTTTTGGATCAATGAAAAGACAATGTCATTTTGTATATATCCAAAAGAGTCTTGGAAAGAGCACTCCGACACACCACCTTGTCAGAGACTGAAAACAAAGTCCAAAGCTTAGGTCAAAGTCCCCACGCCTGACTCGGAGCCTAAGAACTCCACCTCTCACTAATTTTGCAGACTTTTATGCTTCGGAACATGATACAATATGGTATATTGATAGTTCTTGTTCCATGCACATGACTGGGCAGAAAGACTTTCTTCGTGATTTAAAGCTTACTCCAAATGGTGGTTATGTTACATATGGCAACAATTCAAACTCTAAATAAATAAATAAAATCAAAAATCCGTTGCGATCGATCGCAGTCCATCGCAAGTCCAAAAGTTGACAAGTTGTTGTTAGAAGAAAAGTCAAATGGAATGCGATCCACCGCGGTCCGTTGTGATCGATCGCAGTCCATCGCAAGTTGTCAAAGTGCTTTAAAAGAAATTGAGACCCATTGTGATTTGTTAGACTCGATTGCATTGTTGTTGTTTACCGCAAGTTCGTGAGCACTCGTTATTTCAGTCTCATATCGAAGGGGAGCACTCAGCATTTCATACTCGTAGTGAGAGGGAGAAATTGACATTTCAAACTCATAACGAGTAGGAGCACTCGAGTCGAGACATCGATAGCGAATGCATTGTTCATCACTCGACATGGATTACAAAATTAGCATCTGACTCATTTAGAAGTGTGACATCCCGGAATTTAGGTCAAAGACTATGAACGGTCAAGTTCACAGTAAATCTCATGGTAATTTGACTCATTGAGTTTTAGGGCATCTAATGTAAAATAAATGAGTTATTTCAACTATTATAAGATACAAGATGATATTTTACTAATGAGTTTTGAGCATAACAACATTCCTATGTGTTCATGCAACCCTAATTTCTTTGGATCTAAGTTTTTCTCTAGTTATACATGCAAATAGAAGTTCCAAAGCAATAACCCTAATACTAGCATACAAAATTCGAGATCCATATGAAAATTAGGGTTTGAATGTTACCTTTCTTGTTATCTCGTAATAACAAGTAATCCAAGGATGATCTTGACTCTTGAAAGCTTGAGTGCCTCACGTGTTACACCTCTAATGGAATCACAAACACCAATAGCAAGGATGAAGGAGAGAAGAGGTAGGGCACTACATATTTCGGCTAAGGTTCTCTAAGAAAGCATAGATCCGAAAATGCCAAGTCAAGGGGTCTTTAAATAGCTGTGGCTGCTAGGGTTTTCAGTGGAAACCCTAATTTCCTCCTTAGGCCCCAAGCAACCCATGGACTCCTTTTATAAGGCCTTGGACGATTTGTATAGGGCATCCCTATAGAAATTCGTCCACCCCATTCCAAGGGAGTCCATTAGCCCAGTCTGCAACTATGAATGATTTGCAAAACCAGTCCCCGTAATTTTAATCAGTCCCTTTAATCCCAAAATTAATTTCTGATTAATACTAATTAAATAATAGGATTTCTAATTAATATATTTTTTTTGAACCGGAAAATCTAATCTACTCCTAAGCTAACAACACCTATTCCACCTAAGTCCACGACGGGACTTGAACCCTCGACCTCAAAGAGGGAGGGCACCACCTGATACCGCTGGGCTACAAGCTCTTTGGTAATATATTATTCTTATAATATATTAATAAACCATTAATTAACATCTTTCTCCAAAAGTCATCCTGTCAAGTTGTTATGGTGAATGCAACCCAAAAGGACCATGCTACTATCAAATCAAGTACATACCAATTATATTTATGGGCTTAGACACCTAATTCAACACTTACTTCCAAATATGTAAATTGACAAACAAATCAAATAGCTCAAACTGCAACCGTAAGAATGCGTCTGAAAAAAATGAAATTTTGTATTAAGCAGTTGTGAGCCATACAAACACTCTAGTCTCGTAGTACGTGTTTTCCTGTTTCCGAAAATATAAAGAACGTCCAAAACGGAGTTCGTATGCAAAAGATACGACCGTTTTAAAAATCCAAAAACCAGTATAATAATGATTTTCTTAAAACCGCTTCTATCCGTTGAGGGACTTGCACACCTCGAATGGAAATTTCGAAAGCATTTTTGGACTCAGGCTATAACCTAATATTTAATTTCAGATTTGAAATATTTTTAGTAAAAATATTTGTAAAAGTCAGAAAAATCAGACGTTTCGACTAATTAGACGCGAAACTTTAAATGCAAATTCCCGGAGTTCTATAGCTTGAAAAATTTATTCGCTCGGGTTTTAGAATCATTGAATTAAAATCTATCATTCGGCACTATCGAAATAAATCACCCGACATCGAGAATTGGACACACGAAACGAGATCCATTTTTTTGACTTAATGGGATATTATGCTTTTGGTTTAAAAAAAAAAACATGCTTGCACACACGGCTTTGCAACCAATAAAAGAGTCGATTTGCCCATAAAAAAAAGATTATGCTAAGTATCTGTCTTAACCAAATTTACACCCTTAAAATCAATCTAATCAATTTTTTTGACATGCTAAGTATCTGTCTTAACCAAATTTACACCCTTAAAATCAATCTAATCAATTTTTTTGACATTTCATTTGACATCATCTTTTTGTTTATTTTTTGTACATTTGATTTGATATATATATATATATATATATATATATATATATATATATATATATATATATATAAGAATTAAAAACCGATTTTATATAACCGTTCGAATTTTATAACGTCGCCCGAATTTATAATGTCGTCCGAATTATAAAACTTTGTTCGAAATAATAATAATAATAATAATAATAATAATAATAATAATAATAATAACCAGATGGGGAACCCCCGCGTTGCGGGGGTCATGTGCAACAGGTCTTTAGCAAAATTGAAATATGAACAAAATAACTTTACATAGGGGTAGTTTAGTCACAAATTAATAATGTCAAAACAATAAATAAGCAGCTTTAAATATATACTTTATGTTGTTATGCATTATAAGTTTGTACCTTCATTCCCAATCATCTTTGATCTCTTTTATAATCAGTAAAAAACATCTTTCATCTCTTTTAGAAATGCTACATTTTCCTACTTCTATAATCAATAAAGACAAAGTTAATAATGCAAAATTATAAGTTTAAACTAATAAAAGATGAGCTAAAGTGCCTTCATCAATTTCTTGTATTCGGACCCCTATTTTTTGTATTTCTGTTCCGTCCTGACCAGTAATAAATCCACATTGGTTGTCGCTTCTTTATCATTCGATTCATTTTGAGAGACATCATAGCAGTGACCCGTATAGAACTGTAAACCTAAAGAAAAAATACAAATCAATATACAGATTCGATAAAGAAATGAAATCACAATATCTGGACATCTAGAAAAAACAAAAATCAATTTACAAATAGACATGGTTTACCTTCTGAAGTGAAAGTCTGGAAGATAAAATCAGGAAATCTGGAGGAGGAAATCTGATATCAAGATATCTGTACGAATTTTAAAAAAAAAAACCAAAAAAAAGGTCAAAAAATGGCATATATTTACACCTGCAGAATCAACCAAATGAATTATAATTTCTTTATTTCAAGTCAAAGATTAATTTTACAAAAAAGAACCAACTGCATAACACTAACACCATAAAACATGGCTATTCTTTCTTATGGCTTTTCAAAGAATTGAATGTTGTGGAAAAAGAAAGAATGGGTGACACTATTAATCAACGTGTATCCACTAAACCAAAGTCAACCAATTTAATCTATGACTACAAAAGAATGTTTTAAATAATAAAATTCACAAACCCCAAATCTGTTGGCTGAATTTCAACTTTACATAGTGAAACCCAATGACCCTTTGTATGTATAAATACATGCCAATATGTCATTTGCTCTCAAATTTGTAATTGCTTGCGAGTCGTTTCACCTTTTTATTTCCATTATTATCTACTAAATTGTTAATAAGGTAATATGGAATAATTTACTAAAAATGTAAAAAATGGTGAAACTGAGTTTGAAAAAAGTAAAATGACAACTATATTTAGAAGCTTCAACAGATATACATGTAAATTTCTGTTATATGCGTCTCAATGTTAAAGTAAGAAAAAATACTCCTCTCATCCATAAAATATATGTAATCATTAATTTTTTTAGTGCTAGTTAGTCTTGACACCATGAACTATCTTGATATAATAAAAAAAACACTTACAGGTGATAGCTTCAAACTGTTTTTTTAACAGGCTTAGTCGACTCGCCTGTCACCATACATGATGCCATATGAAAATCTGCATTTGTTTTTTTCCACAGCACTACAAAAAAAACCGAGATTACCTCCTCAGTTATAAAACCTTTTCCAAGGAAACACATTCAACCTCAACATTCAACCTTTGAAAAAACAATCGTGAGGTGCGAGTTTGTGATCAGAAAATGGAAAAATGAGACATACCTTGTTAGTAATTTACTAACTTTAGTAACAAAGAGCAAATCATTTTTATTATACGTCACATGATCATTCTATTTTCCTTGAATTTACAGTCCTCCTGGAAAAAAAATGTAAGTACAATTTTATTTTCTAAAGGGATTAGAATCACATGAACGAAGTTAATGTAAAACTGAAGCCGACATCATTTACACCTATTTTCAAAACTTCAATTATCTTAGCATACAACTCTTTTTCCTCTTTTACTCCTCCAGTTTTACTTTCCCATTTACACCTCTTTTACTCCTGAAAAAAAAACATTAAAATGCTAGATTTGTGTTAAATTCTAGCACAACAGCAAAAGAAACACGTGGGCAAGATAACACTAAAGTAATCACTAAAAATTAGAAACATTAAATGTTTTTACCTGCTTGGTAAGTAAATAAATTAAGATTTATGCATATATCAGTTAGAAAAAATGACATAATGAGGGTCTCACAAAATATGTAAGAAAATTATTAATTGTAGAGTATCAATATGTACCAAATACAGTCAATCATCATACCCCCTATGACATGATAACGTTCTCCTTCAATCGAGTTTATTTCCAACAGAGGGCCAGATATCTGGCATCTGATTTTATTAAAAAAATTTAATAAAAAAAGTACATCAGGTAAGATATTCAAAACTAAAACTGAAAAAGAAAAAAAAACACATACAAAAGGGCAGCCCTGCAGCTGCCCGGAGACTGGCGGTCAGCTCCCGGTCAGCTTTGTCTCTCCTCCTCCACAGTTCTTGAACAGCATCTTCAAGATCCCTGACCTGAAAACATAGAACAGAAACAAAAGGCCAATTTCGTAATTATCAACATTTTGTAGTAAAATAAAAACTCATGTTTGTTTATTAATTATTCATACCTGATAACATTCTCCACAACATGTAGCACATCTATACTGCAGGTTATCGTCCACTTGGAATTGCAAATATTTTTCATCAATGCATTAATATTTTCCAAATTTTATTTTATTTTTAAAAAAAAAAATTAAAGATTGACATTTATTAAGAGTTAAAAGAAAACCTAATTCCATCACAGTGACAATGCACCCAACATTGACAGACATCACAACAAACCATGGGTGTTGACTCTGCGTCTCTATAGACCTGAAATTATTATAAAAATATATATATATAAACTTTGTTTATATAAAGTAAAATGTTCAAAGTATAGAATATAAGTTATACCTTTAAACAAACAGGGCAGTAATTTCCTTTCACAAACAATCTCCCACAATCATCACAACATGTATACCCTAAAAACCACCTGCAAATTGTTGGATATAAGGTTGATTTTATTTTAAAAAAAAAAACTTTTTAAAATTTTAATGTTGTAAGTGAAAATAAGTATGTCTGACACTTAAACCATTTCCTGGAACTGTGGATGCACAACTGTGACACCTTGTATGCTTAGGGCACAAATAAGGTCCACTACTAACATTCTACACAATTTAAATATATATAAATAACACTATGGTGAATCTAACATGATGTTCAATATAGGAAATTAAAGTTTTTTACTTTTTACAAATTACAATTTACCTTGTGTGGAGGTTGTTGACAATAACAGTGATGTGCACCATCACATCTTTTGCAAAACATTAGCTTGTTTGGATCACCAGTCCTACTGCACACCTGGGTTTTTATAAAAATTATATATTTATATGATTATGTGATTTATATCAACAACATGATTGAAAAATATTGTAAACAGAAGGATAATTCGGATTGATTGAAAATATACCTCACATGTACGACATGAAGGGCAAGTCCAAGAACTCCAGTGAAACAGATCTGAAATAAAAACCCTAAATTATCAAGATTTAAGAATTATGAAACATGTTAGCAAGTAGCAACAGGAGATTGTACCTCTATTTTGAGCCCAAGATTTCACACAGCTTTTGTGATATTTCTTGTTACAAGTTTTGTATGGTAGCATCTTTCTAGCTCTATCACTTCCTTCATTTTCACCTAAGAAACAGAGGCGACACATAACTTTAGAGCAATTTTGAACCCTATAACATGAAACTCCCAACAATAATTTCTACTTTTGCTATCTTTCAGATCATCTTCAACATCATCGACTTACTCTAGACCATGAGCAAAACTTCAATATAACATTATAAAGTGACATGGCATGAAGGAAATTGGTATTTCATCTTAAAAGAGTTGATTTAAGTAGAAGATAAATAGAATAAAAATGGAGAAACAGGGATTCAAAACCTGATGAGTATATAAGCTGAGTTCTTCAAAACCTGGAACCAAAAAATCAAATCAAATTATAAATTTATACCTAATGGATTCAAATCAAATAAGGTATATGGGTTAGATCGAGTATATAAAGGGAGGGTGATGAACGACACGTGTCCACAAAGAATACGGACTGCTGTAGTCGCTGCTGCTGCCGCCAACGACCTTCATCTACCGCCGTCGGTGCTTCTACCATCGCAGGTAACAATCGATGCCCTACCGTCGTTGATTTCCCGCTGATTGATCAGACGAAACCAAGAGACATACCTGCAATCGTGACATGACAAACGGAAGGGACAACCGAACCGTGTCCGGCTCCACTACGCCGAAAGACGACCTAGAAAACGCAGAGCATCCATGGAGAAGCCGAGATAATGACGGTGGGAGAAGGAAAGACAGCGAGAGAGAGGGAGAGGCGATAAAAGCAGTCAGAATCAGTCTGGGAGAGGAAAATGAAGCTGTGAAAGGATGGATGTAGGGAAAATGAAGCTGTGAAAGGATGGATGTAGAAGGAACCGGATGTAGAAGGTCGGTAGAAAGAGGCGGTGGAACGTGGGATTAAACTAACCAGGTATGCTAACTAACCCAGGCTAACTTTCATATCTTTAATAATGGAACACAAAAAGGATATGAATAAATTAATTAAAGAGGTACAGGGACCAGATATGTAAATCAAGGGACCAAACCTGGACAAAATATATCAATTTCACTATTCTTTTCGTCCACAATTTTAATATATATATAATAATAATAATATAAATTAAAAATAAATTAAAATAACAAAAAAACAAAATTTAAAAAAAAAATGCAGAAAACCAAAAAAAAATTTAACACGCATAACTCTGTGATTCACTGACCATATCGGTACCCCCTCCCCCTCCCTCTCTCTCTCTCTCTGCAATAGAGGAAAAAGGAGCTGCAACTCCTCCCTTTCTCTCCCGACCACACAGCAACCTCAACATCACCGATCGCCGCCCACAGCTCCGCCAGTCCCCCTCCCTCGGCTGCCTACCTCTTTCCTTCACTATCGAAAAACACCACCACCATCAAGGGTGGTATTGTTGCTGCTAGTACCACTGCGAAACCACCACCCTCTCCATTCCTTCCTTTTTTCTGGTGATCAGAGCAACCCTCCGCCACCACTGTCGACGCAAATCGCGTCCACCCACCTTTCGACTACCGTTCCGACATCTACCCACCATCGCACACATTGCCGCCGAAGGAAGATAAACAAGCCTCGAAAAGCAGTCGGAAACGCCGACTGCCACCACCCCACACGACCCACTCCGCCATCACCAACCGCTGCCACCATCTCCGGCTATCACTATGAGTTCGGACCAGCCACATCCCTGCTACAGTAGGTATCGATTAAACACCACCTTTGAAATTGATTTGGTTTCATTTGTTCGTGAATCAACTGGAATCAAAAGACCCGAAGATTTGGTGGGTCTCGTTTTTTTTGGTTTGCTGTAATCTTCATTCCTGAAAACGAATAAGGAAGGAAAGCAACTGTGCAAACATGGTTACAGTTTAATTAATTATGACCCTCAAGTTGCTGATCTTTACAATTTTGTCCCTTCTCTTTATTTGAATTAATTATTTAAACCCCAATATGAGAATGGGTTACAAATATAGTCCTAAGCCTCCAACTTGGATTTAAAATGTACACATCAGCCCCCTATGTTGGAAATAAATTTCGAGATCAGTCCCTCGTTGAATGGTTTTAGCGAAATCAATCCCTAGAAACTATTTGTGTTAACAAAGACCACCCTATACTAAAAAATTAATACCAAAACTACCATTTTGGTTTTATTAGGTAATTTAAATATACCCGATGGTTCGTTTTAAGAACAAGGAACGTCACATAACAACTTTCACGACAAGTCTCACACCACGAGCCTCGTTCACGCTACGAAAGTGAGTTCTTACGGCCCCTTTTTAATATTCTAATTATTTCGAGGGGGAGGGGAGGGGGGGGGGGGGGAATACATGTGCCAATATATTTTATTTATACAAACCAATTTCATATTTATACGAAAATACAATAAACCTTGTTTATAAAAATATTATTATTTAACAATTTACCATATTGTTACGAATAAAGTAGTATAAGTTTTTCGTATACGTATTATGATTATTTTATCGTGAAATAACCATTTCACACAAAAAATACTACACAATACAAAATTATATGATTTTTATGTGACATTGCATATTATAACAAGTACGTTATGAAACTCTATAGTATTTTAAGGATTAAAGTTATTATTAAACATGTTTATTTATATGTTTAAGTACACCACGTTTATACATGTACATATGTTCATTAATTTGAAACATTCATTTTTATAAAAGCGAGCACATTACACTTTTACATATATGTCAAACATACTCGACTTTTATAAACTTTATACAACGATATTCATTATGCTTAGAACTTACCCATAAGCAATTTAGGGCTGAGAGTTATTCACAAACTTTTTAGTTAAGGGCTTTTTAGTGAGACGCTACGTTATTCATTAGCTGAGTTTAAATACTTAGCATACCCAACACTACTGTAACCGTTAATCTTCGGAGCGAGATACATATGTATAGATATACGGGGTTGACATCCCCACCTGCGGTTGCTAGCTACAACCCTCGACTGATCAATCGAAGCGGGTGATAGGTGTCTACAATTTTTACTACAACGTCCAATGAGGCATTGTAGGGGGTACACTCAGTCATATAGCTCGGTTATAGGACAAACTAAAAACATTAACTAGAATATCTCTCTCTCTCTCTCTCTCTCTCTCTCGCTCGCTCTCTCTCTCTCACTCACTAACAACCATGTGTTTGGTTGCTTTCAAAGCTATTTTTAAGTATGAAATTACTTATGTAATATAACAGTTTGGTTTTCAAGGATATTCAAAGGTTTATTACAAACATAGTTTAAAGTATGGATTTACTTATACAAAAGATACATTTTGGCTTTCAAGGATTTATTACAAGCACAGTTTAAAGTATGGATTTACTTATACAGAAATACATTTTGGGTTTTTGAAGACTCATTGCAAACACTGTTTGTAACTATCGTTATACATACAAAGATAATACTTTTTAGACTTTTTAAAAGTATTATTGCGGTTAGAAGAAAACCTGTAACGCTCACCAGCCTTGTGTTGACCCTCAAAACTACATGTATTCTCAGGAAATCTTTAAATAGACACTCCAGACGGATTGGATTATAGGTGACCTAGTTTACTTGCTGTTGTACTATATGCCTATCAGTTAAGGCAATTCATGTATTATTATTATTATTTGTAAAAACCTTGTATTCAAACATCAAGATGGAATGTAAATGATATTTTGTTTATTGTTGTACTTGTGCTATATATTCAATTTACCTGTGATCCATGAACTTAGTCGCACAAACCGGCGTGTTCTGTCGCCTCGGCCGGGGGTGTGACAAGAAGTTACTGTGCACGTTCAGAGATTCGCAACCCTTCGTTTTCTCAAGTCTTGCTGAACCATTAAAAGAGACATCGGTAACGAATGCACTATTCATCACTCGACATGGATTACGAAATCCACATTTGACTCATTCAGAAGTTACTGTTCACGTTCAGAGATTCGCAACCCTTCGTTTTCGCAAGTCTCGCTGAACCATTAAGAGAGTCGATGTTTTTAGATCTAAGCATATTTTTCTAGAAACTTTTCAGCATTCAGAGATTTTTTCATGCTTATCTCGAAGATTGAAGGAGGCCATTTGTTTTTACAAGGGGGAGTTTGACTTCTCAGATCTGTGTGCTTGGATGGTGATCCGTTGCGACCGTTCACAACCTGTCGTATTCCCCCTGTTCCCAAATTAGTTGTTTCTCGTTGCGGCTAACTGCGATCCATTGTGATCATTCGCAGTCTATCGTAATGCTGCATTTTGTCTCAATATTTTTTCAACTCATTGCGATCCATCACAAGTCCTCCAAAAGATCATGTTCAACTACGATCAATCACAACCAATTGAAAAATGTTCACTCAATTACAAGCAACTTCAATCATCGCAAGCTTTTTTAAGTTTGACTTCATGTTACCTCATGCATTGCAATCTATCAAGAGAATTCATTTTCTCATAATTCAAATCTGATTTGGTAATGTAACTTTATTTCTTTTGTTTTCTAAGTTCTAATCCTTTAGATCTCATAATTTCCAACTTTTTTTTCAAAAATGACTAAGATCTTCCATGCAACTTTTTTTCAAATTCTTCAAAGACGTTGTTAGAACAAAGTTCAATTAGGATCGTTAGATTCTATGCAGGCAAACAATTAAGAACGTAATTATGAACACGAGAATGACTTTGAATGTGTCGTATGATTAAAACTTCTACACCTCAGAAGAGCTCGATTAAGAACTTCGACTGTAGAGGTGTTTAGGGTTACAAAACAATAAACGTAATAATCAACAGCATGTAATGCATACATGCATGCATATTTATAGTATAACCCTACTAGATAATCACGGATGGACGGGCCCAATCCGGATACAAAACATAAGCCCATGACGCAACACAATTAAACTCAACAATCTCCCCCTTTGCGTCAGTGGAGCCGAAAGCTCACTTTGGAAGAGCTGCAGAAGACTTCTTTATTGTTTTGAACACCTTCGGTATGATGGCCAAAAGATGATAGCGAAACGTAATATACCACCGAAGCATGTCCGTGAAGTTCTTCTTATCTGCTTCCGAGTTCTGCTTGCACCGATGAATGATGTTAATGATGTGCTCCAAGCAGTCGGTTGAAAATAAATGTTTATCAACAAGAGCGAATAAAAATCTGTGTGCTTCGCCTTTTGTAAACATCACAGTAAGATGTGTTGAATCTATTTGGCCCATCTTCATTTTATTCACATCCCCTGGTTTCGGTGTTGGCTTAACCGTCGGTTTCTTGTTCATGACTTTCGCTATCTCCTGATCCATAGCAGCAACCTCATGGATGTAAGAAGCCAACATCCTCTTCAAGTGCTCCAATATCGGCTCATATTCCCTCGGATTTGTGAGCAAAATGTTAAACAGCAGAATCTAGTCATGAGGATTTAGATTTGGAAGGTCTGCCAGGGAGATCATCGACACCGAGTTTGCTGATCCTCGTGTGATTTTGAAATTGACATTTACAAATTTCCCAACAGGCGAAGGCTTGAGTACCTTAACAGTAACAATCTTCTGTGCACTCCATGTCAAGTACTGAGGTTGTCCATACTTCAGATAGAAATCAATAAGCTCTCGGTCAACCTTTGGATGAGGGAAAGGAACTTCAACAGTCGAGTCAAAACAGTGAAATGTGAATGCCTTTCTTGTTATTGGCATGTCGAACTGTGATTCCTTTGAGTTGTGACAATCAAATGAAGCAACAGGTTCCAACCAGTAAACACTTGGAAACTCTATAGCCTCATTGATAAGTTTTTCTTTTGTCTACAGGGGAAACAAGGCCTTTTTGCAGTTTAAGGCTTCTTCTTCTTCCTTATTCCTCCTTTCCCTCTCCTCAGCCTCCTTCGCAACCTTTAGATTTTCATCCAACTCTCGGTCTCTCTTCTTTCTTTTGAGAGCCTCAGCAATGATTTCTTCAACGTCATCATCACTGTCATCATTGATCACCTTCTGCTTGATAAAAGAACCAGAACCCGAAGCTTCATTACCCTTTGGTTCGGTTGTGACTTTCGGTTGAGCAGATTCTGTCTTAACGATAACCCTCGGTTGAGCATGAGCACCTTCTCCCCCTTGTTTTGGAGGTGTGAATCTCTCCGAAACACCCTTCATCTCGTGTAACATGGCAAGGGCAGGAAGAAGTTTTGTAGTTAGATGATTCCTTATGGTTAAAGTAAGGATAGGATCATGAGCACCAAGAAGATTGGTCAGCATGTCCTTGACATCCCCAGCACAGCTACGAAAGACGGCCCTTTCGGTTTTCAACAAAGAAATTTCTTTTTCTGCTTGGGCGAGCTGCACTTTCTGTACTTCAATTGTGGATGATTGTCGGGCAAGATCTTCCTTCAGAGCACTTTCTTTTGCCAAATCAGCGTGAAGAGATTCAAGTCTAGAATTCACCGAACTGATAAGTGAAGTGTTCTCGGCTTGGATGGAGGAACGCACAGCCTCAAACTTTGTTTGCTCTTCTTGAAGAGACTTTGAGAAAGATTCCACAGAAGCATTCACCTTTGCTGCATTTGTATCAGCATGCCCTTTAAGTGACTCAAGAAAGATCTGAGTACTATGAACAATCTCATTAATATCAGTGGTGGCCTTTTGGCAAGAGGAGGTAGACTCATTAACAGCTTTGGTGG